AGTTTACTGAAAGAATGCAATATGTACGACACCAGTATCCATTTTTTTGGGGCGCCGCCTCCCCTAGGAGGACCTATTGTGAGCCACAGGCCTTGGCAGGGTCCCTGGGATCAGTGGCGCCCTCCTAGTGGCAGTGGGTGTCTTTCCAGGGGCGGCAGGGTCTCTGCCAGGGGCGACGGCGCCCCCAGGGGCCCTTCCACATGCAGCTTTACCCCAAGAACTTCATATTTTTGTCTACATTTTGCTTTCGTCCAGTAATCTCTTACTTAAACGTGATTGGTGGAGTAAGATGTGACGTCATCAAACTACAGCCAATAGGAGAACATAGCAATCAGTCAGCACAACACCCTAACTTATGCTTTGCTGTTGGATATTTATTCTCGTTTCACTATTTAAACTCTGGGAGATATGATGTTAAATAAAAATACACACTGCCCCATAGCATTTTCAGTATTATCGCAACCTGAACAATGAAAAGGAGAATAAATATCCAACAGCAAAACATAAGTTGGGGTGTTGTGCTGACTGATTCCTCTGTTTTCCTTTTTTCTGTAATTTGATGACATTACATCTTATTTCACCAATCACAGTTAAGTAAGCTATTACTGAAAGAATGCAATATGTACGACACCACTATCCATTGTTTTGGGGCGCCACCTCCCCTAGGAGGACAAATTGTGAGCCACAGGCCTTGGCACAGTCCCTGGGAACATTGGTGCCCAATAAAGAGGCCTGGGGGGAGCCACCACCTCTGGAAGGGCCCCTGAAGGCGCCACCGCCGCTGGCAGGGCCGCTGGGAGCACCACGGTCCCTAGGAACGTACCTGGAGGCGCCCCCGTCCCTGGAAAGGCCCCAGGGATCATGGCTCTCCCTGTGAGGGCCCCTAGGGTCGCCAGTGCCCCTAGCAGGGCCCATGGGGGCGCCGCCGTCCCTGTGAGGGTCCCTAGGAGCGTTGCCGTCCCTGCGAGGGTCCCTTGGAGCGTTGCCATCCCTGAGAGGCCCATGGAAGCTCGGCTGTTCCTGGAGGAGCCCCTGTGGACGCCGCCTTAGCTGAGAAGGCCCCTAGGATTACAGTATTCCCTATGAGTGCCCCTAGTGGACCCAATACCCCTGACAGGTCCCCTGTAGGCACCGATTACCCTGAGAGGGCCCTGGGGGTGCCTCCGTGCCTGGCATGGCCAAGTGACCCTCACATGGATAGTGGCAATCCCAGGGTCCCTTACAGGGACGGGGGCGCCTTCAGGGGTGTTCCCAAGGACGGCGGCGCCCCCAGGGGCCATACCACAGCGGTGGCGCATTCAGGGGCCCTTCCAGGGACGGTTTCTTCCCCAGGGTCCGTCTATGGGGCGCCTCTGCTCCCAAGGAACCTGCCAGGGGCTGCAGCGCCCCTATGGATCCTCCTAGGGCCGGCGCCGCTGGTATGGGCCCCCCTAGTGGCAGTGGGTGCCTTTCCAGGGGCGGCAGGGTCTCTGCCAGGGGCGACGGAGCCCCCAGGGGCCCTTCCACAAGCAGCATCGCCCCAAGAACTTCATAGTTTCGTCTTACATTTTGCTTACGTCCAGTAATCTCTTACTTAAACGTGATTGGTGGAGTAAGATGTGACGTCATCAAACTACAGCCAATAGGAGAACATAGCAATCAGTCAGCACAACACCCCAACTTATGCTTCGCTGTTGGATATTTATTCTCGTTTCAATATTTAAACTCTGGGAGATATGATGTCAAATAAAAATACACACTGCCCCATAGCATTTTCAGTATTATCGCAACCTGAACAATGAAAAGGAGAATAAATATCCAACAGCAAAGCATAAGTTGGGGTGTTGTGCTGACTGGTTGCTCTGTTTTCCTATTGGCTGTAATTTGATGACGTTACCTCTTATTCCACCAATCACAGTTAAGTAAGAGATTACTGAAAGAATGCAATATTTACGACACCAGTATCCATTTTTTTGGGGCGCCGCCTCCCCTAGGAGGACCTATTGTGAGCCACAGGCGTCGGCAGGGTCCCTGGAAGCAGTGGCGCCATCCTAGTGGCAGTGGGTGTCTCTCCAGGGGCGGCAGGATCTCTGCCAGGGGCGACGGCGCCCCCAGGGGCCCTTCCACATGCAGCTTTACCCCAAGAACTTCATATTTTTGTCGTACATTTTGCATTCGTCCAGTAATCCCTTACTTAAACGTAATTGGTGGAGTAAGATGTGACGTCATAAAATTACAGCCAATAGGAGAACAGAGCAATCAGTCAGCACAACACCCCAACTTATGCTTTGCTGTTGGATATTTATTCTCGTTTCACTATTTTAAACTCTGGGAGATATGATGTTAAATACAATACACACTGCCCATAGCATTTTCAGTATTATCGCAACCTGAACAATGAAATGGAGACTAAATATCCAACAGCAAAGCATAAGTTGGGGTGTTGTGCTGACTGGTTGCTCTGTTTTCCTATTGGCTGTAATTTGATGACGTTACCTCTTATTCCACCAATCACAGTTAAGTAAGAGATTACTGAAAGAATGCAATATGTACGACACCATTATCCATTTTTTGGGGGCGCCGCCTTCCCTAGGAGGACCTATTGTGAGCCACAGACCTTGGCAGGGTCCCTGGGAGCAGTGTCGCCCCATAAAGTGGCCTGGGAGGAGCCACCGCCTCTGAAAAAGGGCCCCTGAAGGCGGCACCGCCGCTGGGAGGGCCTCTGGGATCACCACGGACCCTAGGAGGGTCCCTGACTGGAGCAGCAGAGCCTGCACGGACCTACCCAGGGGCAGCGCAGCCCCCAGGGACCATCCCAGAAACCGTTCCAGGGGCAGTGGTGCACTGGAAACCCTCCCAGGGTCAGTGGCGCCCCTTGGGACCCTCCCAGGGGCGGTGGTGCATCTGGAGTCCCTTTCATTGGAAGAGGAGTGCACAGGGACCATTCCAGGGGCAGCATAACCTCCAGGGACCATCCCAGAGACCCTCCCAGGGACGGCGGCACCTCAAAGGACACTCCCAGGGGCATCCACACCCCCAGAGACCTTTCCAGGGACGTTAGTGGCTTCAGAGACCTTCGTAGGGGTCCCAGGGGGCCCTATGGCATGCTTGTTTGTTGTGTCATATTTTCGAACATTACATACTTCCCGAAGTCCCTTACTTAACTGTGATTGGTGGACTTTTAACCCGCCAAATTACAGCCAATAGGAGAAGAGAGCAGTCAGTCAGCACAACACCCTAACTTATGTTTTCCTGTTCATATTATTCTCCGTTACCTGCTTCAGAATGCAATGATACTGGTGGAAATGTGATGGGCGGTGTATTTATTTAACTTTGCATCTCCCAGAGTAATAAATTGAGCAGAAACTACTGCACCCATGGGTCCTACAGGCCTAACGTTCCCAGGGGCCATCTCAGGGGTGGTGGACATATGAGGAACCCCCCAGGTGCCGCGACGCTCCCAGGGTGCCCCCCGTGGTGACGGTGCCCCCAGGGGCGCTTGCAACATCAGTGGCATCCTCAGGTGCATCTTCAGGAGCGACGGCACCCCTGGGACCATGACTGGAGCAGCGGAGCCTACAAGGACCTACCCAGGGGCAGCACAGTCCCCAGAGAGCATCCCAGTGACCGTTTCAGAGGGAGTAGCTCACCGAGAACCATGGCAGAGTCGGTGGCGCCCCCAGGGGTCCCTCCCAGGGTCGGTGTTGCTCCTGGGGTCACTTTCATTCGAAGAGGAGTGCACAGGGACCATTCCAGGGGCAGCATAGTCTCCAGGGACCATCCCAGAGATCCTCCCAAGGACGGCGGCACCTCAAAGGACACTCCCAGGGCATCCACACCCCCAGAGACCTTTCCATTGACGTTAGTGCCCCGAGAAACCTTCCTAGGGGTCCCAGGGGGCCCTATGGCATGCTTGTTTGTTGTGTCATATTTTCGAACATTACATACTTCCCGAAGTCCCTTACTTAACTATGATTGGTGGACTTTTAACCCGCCAAATTACAGCCAATAGGAGAAGAGAGCAGTCAGTCAGCACAACACCCCAACTTATGTTTTCCTGTTGATATTATTCTCCGTTACCTGCTTCAGAATGCAATGATACTGGTGGAAATGTGATGGGCGGTGTATTTATTTAACGTTGCATCACGCAGAGTAATAAATTGAGCATAAACTACTGCACCCATGGGTCCTACAGGCCTGGCGCTCCCAGGGGCCATCTCAGGGGTGGTGGACATATCAGGAACCCTCCCAGGTGCTGCGACGCTCCCAGGGTACCCCCCAGTGGTGACGGTGCCCCCAGGGTTCTCGGTGAGCTACTCCCCCTGAAACGGTCACTGGGATGATCCCTGTTGGCTGCACTGCCCCTGGGTAGGTCCTTGCAGGCTCCGCTGCTTCAGTCAGGGTCCCAGGGGTGCTGTCGCTCCTGAAAATGCACCTGAGGATGCCACTGATGTTGCAAGGGCCCCTGGGGGCACCGTCGCAACTGGGGGGCACCCGGGTGGCGCCGCCGCTCCTGGGAGGGTTCCTAGGGTGTCCACTGCCCCTGCGAAGACCCCTAGGAGCGCAGACCTGAAGGGCCCCTGGGCGCAGTAGTTTTTGCTCTATTTATTACTCTGGGAGATGCAACTTTAAATAAATACACCGCCCATCACATTTCCATCAGTATCATCGCATGCTGAAGAAGGTAACGGAGATTAGTATCAACAGGAAAACATAAGTTGGGGTGTTGTGCTGACTGACTGCTCTCTTCTCCTATTGGCTGCAATTTGGTGTGTTAAAGGAATAGTCCACCAATCATAGTTAAGTAACGGACTTAGTGAAGTATGTAAAGTGTATTCATTCCTTTGAAAAAATCTAGTGACAAAACATCAGGAACAAAGCTCCATCTCTTAGTCTTGTTTCCTTCAGTATCACACTACTTTAACTTAAATTGCTGTATATAGTGAAATCATAAGGGTGCAAAAATTATAACCCCCATGAAACATTATTCTGTATAGGTTAAAATAAAACAATAATTTTTTTTTCCATTCGCATTATTTATTAAGGTACAGTTAAGTTCAGCTGTGAAATGAGAGGAGAAAACTGTTTATCAGCTGGTTATTGTCAACAATTTGATATAGAACAGACTGCGGGGAAAGGCATCAAGATGTCACGAATCAATATAGAAGTTTTATCTTGCTTAGTGAGTAAATATCATTAAGCTTGATCTCTCAACTCTAGCCACCTCCTTGTAATAGGGGATTTCAACTATGGTGACATCAACTGGAAGAATGAAATTACACCAAATGACCTTAATAATCCTGCTACTCTTTTTCTTTGTAGAAACTGTGAGAGATAATTTTCAATTCCAACATGTTCAAGATAACTCACTATAAAGAGGAACTAACACCCAAAATCAATGGACCTAATAATAACTAACGCTGAGGGTACGGTGGCTAAGTTGGAACATGTGGCCTCTGTTGACACAAACCATCAAGTGACATGTAGGAGTATAGGGAGATGGATGTATAGGAGTCACAAGAGGAGTTTAATTACAGTGTAGGAAAGGAGTGTATAGGGAGGGGTTGAAAAGACGACAGTATATGAGGAATAGAGAGAAAGCAAGTGGTGGTTGGAAGATGAATGGAGATGTGTGAATGAGATAATGATGTGTGGGGTAGACATTAAGCATTTGGGATGCAAGAGTCATATGAGTGGAAATGGGAAGAGGTTAGTAGGATCAGGAGAAATTTCTGTGGAGGCAAAAGAGATAGCTTGAGAATGGGGAACAGAAAGGCAGGGAAGAAGAAAGGGTGCAACAGTAAATAAGGGAAGAGTATATGGAGGTGAGAAGATTGGTGCGTGAAGATTGTGTGGTGACTGGAGGAAAGGAGAGGAGTATAGATGACCGACAGTTACAAGAGTGGTGTCAGGGGGGCGAGAAGAAGAATGTCTGGGAGTGGAGAGAAACATGCTTAAGAGGAGAACTGTAAGAAGCAATGTGTGTAAGGCCAGAGAAAAGGGGGTCTTTTGGTATTGGAAAGGGAGTGTTTAGGGGTAAGAAAAGTAACATGTATAGATGGGGAGGAAGCATTTGGGGTAGAGAAGTGTTGCAGGGGATCACAAGAATGGGGAGGTGGGTGTGAGAGGTTAGAAATAGGTATAGAGTCAGAGGTAGAGATGTGCTTTGGAAGTAGACTGGTGTATGAGAGAAGGGTGTCTTCTTTCAGGTTCAATTATAGTCATATTACATTTTTGTAAAATGGAATATGTTTCTTTGATGACATTAAGTTAATTTAAACAATAAATAATGCTATTACATAAAACATAAATGAAAAATATAAAGGTTGTATTTGAGTCTTGTAATAATCACAGGTTTGTAAAAAAAAAATGGCCCAAATCTTTAATTCTTCATACACTCTCCCACCTCCAGGAAGCATTATGTATACTCAAAGAAAGGAGGTTTGCCAAGTGTTTCTGTTTTATATGTCACACTGACTTGTGTTCATCATGTTTAACTTAGATCTAAAATGTCAATGTTATAATAATTATATAGCTTTTATGAATGCTTATATTTATCCCCTCAAAACAATAGTTGAATATTTACTGTACAAAATAACTTTATAAGCCAGCTAACTCCCATATGATTTGAAGTTGTAATACATTCAGTAGCATCTTTGTTTCCTTGTCCATAAAGCTGTACAGCACTCATCATACAGACACAGTATTTGAAAAGATTAAGTTAGTGACCTTTCATCTGCACCAACCCAATGGCTTGAGTCTGTCAGCAGCACAGTACTAACTAATAAATTAATTTGTTTATATACAATGTCGCAAAGATGGTCTTGATATTATGAGTCATGTGGTACTGAATGTCAAAGATTACATTTTTATTATAATTAAATTCTTCCTACTTGAGGTACTCTTAATTCTTAAAGAGAAAAGAGTATACAGGACTGTACAATGTAATGCCTCCAAGTGAGAAAGACCATAAGGAATGATCCTGACTGCCAACATACATTCTTCATTGTAGAAACTTTAGAATTTGCAATAGAATACTGCTAAATGATAGTTGCCTATACTTCTGATATTTCTTACAGTATATGAGAAGTTTGAAACTTTTCATTTGTTTATATATTAATCATTATTCTACATGATATTTTAAGTGGTCTTTACCGTGTACTCTATATAGTACAGTAAACCCTCTTAATAATGGACTTCTTATTATAGTATTGGATATTCATAACAACGGATATCTTTTCGTCTGGTTCAATATCATTAGTCAGTAAAAACTGTTAATGGGGAGAGACCGTGAGCTACTGACCACGTGGTCAGTTGGAACTTGCCAGACGCAACGCAACTAAGCATCCCTGTCATTCAAACCCGCATGAGGGTAGACACCACATGGCATAGACAAACTGAAAGATGATGTACTGTAATAGGTTGAGGGTTTTAACAGTCATCTGTTCATAGTTTTTCATTCTCCTTCCATATCTCATGCCATTGTTTTCTCATGTGTGTGTGTGTGTGTGTGTGTGTGTGTGTGTGTGTAGCATCATTGTGGCATGCTATTATACTGTAATCCTCATCGTTATATGGCCATTTTCCACATTTGTGTGGGTTAGCCATGGTTACCCGATGGCAGCTCTCCACGCTGCAGGTCTCTTGCCAGGTTTCTAATTCTAATAGCCATTTCTTAAAACCTCACCCTGTGTCATTCTTGGCCTACCCTTGGCTGTCCTTCCCTCCACCTCTTGACCTAGTTGGTTTCATTTATTCTCTCCACTCTAGAACTTGTATGCTTTAATGCTACAGTATTTGTTTCTTTGTTTATGTTTTTTGTGTGTATGTTAGGTACCCACTATTTCAACACAATGATGAGTATACTAGGTAGTGGTTATAGTAATACAAGTCTAAAACTAGTGCACTGACTGCTGATAAACTTGAAACACCACAGCATTTTTTACTCACCCAAGGAGATACCACCTGATCCTCCCCAAGACATAATCTACCCGACCCCTTCACCCTTTACCCCGAGCCCTCTAAGGGTGTGAACAAGTTAGCTCATACATTCTTATGTTTTAGCACATCAATATTTTTCTGGCAGTACATTTAATTTCTTGCTTAATGGAACATGGATGTTTGTATAATGGTATTAGTTTTCACCCCAGTCAGTCCAGTTTAACAGGGGTTTACTGTAGTGTTTGAAGTGACACATTGTATAAAATGATAACATTAATTTGATCATTTTAAGCTTGATGTAATAATCAATATACAAATTATATTCCCTGATAAGTGAGGTACACAACAAGGAATTGTCTAAATATTCTCACTAAATATTCTACATAGTTAAAAGAATCTTTCACATCTTCCTAAATTGGAGGCCTTACTTTAACCTTACTACAGGACAGCTGACTGACTCTTTCATGTTGCCATGTCTAGTGTACCAGTTGAGTCAGCCATTGTTAAGTACTCATATGGCACCTTTCTACAGCTATATGGCAACTTGTATTCATGGTAGGGTGGTATTTGGCAGGTGATAAAACACCTAAAGTCTCAGCATAAAGGGGACTGATGATAATGACAAGCAGATCCAAGCCCACTCAGGAGCTGTACTACTTAGGTATAGCAGCTTCTACACACATTATTAACTGGTAAACTAACAGACATTTAAAAGATCTCCTACTACAATATACTACTCTATATACGGTATTTACAAACACACTGTACAATAGATAAAAGCTGCCACTGGACACCTTCATGACTACTACAAGAGGTAAATATATGTGAAGTTCACTACATAAATGTACTGTACACTTGTTTATAATATATGAACCATTTCCACTTAATGATTCATGTAAAGGACAGGAGGCATGTTCTATCTTCTAGGTATTTTCATAGAACCACTCCTTCTGTATTAAACATTGCACATAATGGAACATCAAAAGCTGCTCATTTCCTACAATATAATTAGTAACTTTACAACTGGTTAATTTTGATATTGTTATAGTTCTTTTACGACCACCAATAAAACTCTTCTTCTATGGCTAATAATGTTCAAAATAGTGGTAAAACACAACACCATAGGCTTGTGGTTTATGAACAATCTTAACACTGAGGCTAAGTCTGATGCTCTTAATATTGCTGGGTACTTGCCATGCTCTGGCATATCAACTATACATTATTGGAGACCTGATATGAGTATTGTTTTCACTATTTTTAATATATATTAATATGATAACCCCTTCATTCCTCTGTATTATTTACAAATTAATATCTGTACTCAGGAGTGTGCTTCAGTTCAAAAAAACTGCACTGTATATGTTAAGTACTTTACACCTACTTAGTTCTTAGCACTATTCAAGGCTATAACTAAGTTATTTTCCAATTACTATCTTAAAGCCTGAATTATGTGTAAAGTGTCATTCAACTTCACACAGCTTTAATAATTAATGTTTACAAAAGTTGAAAACTTTCAAGGACCATATATTGTGCAAAAAATATATTGTATTCCAAATCCCTCTTTTCACTTTATTTCACTTTATTCAATGAAGATGAGTTCTCAAAACTTAATGCATTGTGATGATTGTTTATCACTTTTGCACAAACGTTTACCGGTTGATAAAAGTGTTATCTTCCATCATTATTTGCATGAGTGGAGATCAACAACTCGAACACATGTTTTACATTCAACAAAACAGCACCAGTGGAACTTGCAGTGGCACCTTTCCCTCACAGTAACTTTCTGGGAGTTGTAACCACGTCCACAGCATAGCAGCCCACATCCATCCATACCTTGCGAAGTCTTGTTGCATATACGGTCTTGCGTTCCTGTAAATCATACATTATTAGAAAAAGGAAACAGCTGTTTTGAGAAGGAATTCATTAAAACAAAACAATTTTCTCCTCAAAGGTTTCTCATCATCAAATAATATCTGTCCAATAGCATTTTAATCCTAGAATAAATTGTTTGCACTATGCCACAAATCTCTCAGGGTAGCTGAGGTGTCCTTTGGACATTTTCAATCAACTAACAGTCCCTAGTAAATATCTCGGGGACCAGGTGTGGTGACAGAACTCCTGGAGGGGAAGCACCTCGGTCTCGAAGATCATTACGAGGGACGGACCATCTAGATATCTGCACGACATTCTTCTAAGACTTAATAATTTAGTTGCTTGATTCACCTTTTTCTCGCAAACCTAGGTCCTTTTCACATTCAGTCTCAATTAATGCAGTTTCTTCATCCCGTTGGGACATATGATACACCTCCTTACCGTTGGTATGTCCCAGGTGCAGCCTCTTACACTTCATGACATTGAATCTTGGCAGCTATTTCTTCGACCATTCTTGGAGCTCACAGAGATCCTTCTGCAGCTCTTCATAGTCTGCTTGGTTCTTAATTTCCGTAAATAACTTGGCGTCATCCACAAACATTTGTATGGATGAGTGTACAGCGTCATGCATGTCATTTATGAAGCAAACATACAACAGTGGGCCCAATACACTGTCCTGTAGTACCCCGCTTGTGACGAGTACACATGATGATTTAGTGCCATTAATCACCACACACTGCTTGCGGTCATGGAGAAAGTCTCAGATCCACGCGAGGACATTTCCCCGAATTCCGTACCCTTCCAGTTTAATTTTCAGCCTTTCGTGGGGTACACTGTCGAAAGCCTTGGCATATAGGTATATATTGTCAATATTACTACCATGTTCCAGAATTTGGATCCAAATATCCAGTACCCGGTACCTTGAGTAATTGTGTTAAGCAGGAGCGCCCCGGCATAAAACCGTGTTGGCAATCCCTTACAAGGTTGTTTAGTAGTAGCTGTTCCATCATGTCATCTCTTATTACGTTCTCAAATACTTTACATACTATGCTGGTAAGGCTCACCGGTTCTACAGTATAGTCAGTATTAGTATACATGACATTCAAGCCGGAATTTGCTCTCGGTAACATGTCTCTGTTCTTGGTAGTAACTCCGGCCTCCTTCCATTCTCAGCAGCTGCAGGGTGTGGTTAGAAATAACATTGCTTACACGGCGCTCGCCTCCTCCTGGGTAGGAGGTAGAGATGGTTCCTCCCCCTGGGTGGGAGGTAGAGCGGGTGAAGGGTGTACTGCTGCCCCCTGGCTCTGTGCTGGCGCTCTTGCTTCCACTACCCTCCCCCTAGATATAACCCATGTACACCCGTCCCTCTTCCTCCTTGACTCCTCCTTCCTTTGCTTCAAGTCCTGCAGGAGCTTCTTGTGCTGTTCCTTCTGCATTACCGTGCAATCTGGGTGAATGAATACATTCCGAAATGCCTCGCTCTTTGCTAATTTTTTTGCTTGCTGAATAATTTCCCATTTCTTCACCTCACTCACTAGAGTGATCCTGAGGGGGCGAGGCTTGTCCTCCTGCTTTTGTCCCTGCTTCCTCACATCCAGAGGGGGGATGAGGGGGATGACATATTCAGAACCTCTATATAAATATTCTCAAACTGCAACTTATGGTGTGTTTTCCTACTTTCAGCCTCCTCCAACTGGCTCTCCATAAACTATTACGTTGTTTCTGCACGCGAAATGTTCCCGCTGTTTCTCCTCTCCCCTAACAGTAGGTCTGCTAGTTACCATCTCTTCGACACACTTCTTCAGAGTCCCTAGCTGCTGTAGAACTTGTTCGGATCCTGCATCACTCTCCGCCACCTCCCGTGGCCCTGCTTGGGCCTGATCATAACTCCTCTTCACTACCACCTCCATTCTATTGGCTACTTCCTCAGTCTTAGCAAAGATCTCTTTCCCAACTTGTTCTAGTTTGTCAACCAGCAAGGATCCAGCTTCATCTATTTTCGTCCCTAGGAAAATCGTTCCCCTATGGCCTGAGAACTTCAAATCATTGTCTACATACACACCCAGGTCTTTTTCACATTCAGTCTCAATTAATACAGTTTCTTCATCCCGTTTGGACATATGTACTTGTTCTTTATGATAATTTTACCATTATTCTGACATTCAAATTCTCTCTCTTACTATAAGGTCTGAAAACATATTTATTTTTTTTATAAAATATGATTCTTATCTGGTCTTGTTCTGTGCACGGTAAAGGGTGACTTACCAAGAGAACCAACAGTAGTATTTCTATTGCAGTAATCAGGTGACTCATGAAGATACACCAGGTCCTCTCCTGTGGGTACATTGAACTGGGGATGCTTCACTTGCAGTTTACCACGACGGTTGATCTTGACTTCAGTTGCACCATCATATTTATCCTTCAGCAGATCACCTATGGAAAGGAATATATGCAATACTAGTTGTAAATTCTATTAAATAAGCATACCACAGAATTATGCACAATAGATTAACAGCATCTTGGAAATAAAACTATGTATATAAGATTCTCCAAAGATCTTACTAAAATACTTTTTTCTACAGACATATATCCACATTACCACTAGTACCAGAAAGATACACATACTGTATACTGATACTTTTATTATATAGTTGCTGAAGAAATCTGTCAAGTTTTGTTCTTCCTAAAATATAAATACAAAACGGGTGTAAACTGTCTTCTGCAACAATAACTTGTGTATATTTTACGCTCAATTGGAAATAAAAGGAATGTATGTATGACTAAACATAATACTTTTTAACTTGATGAAAATACATTGATAGACTGACCAATCTCCCTAAATGGTGCCAATTGTTGCCAACATGTAATGAGAGAGCAGGATCCTGACACTCCATGGCACTTGCAGTTTACACGGGTCTTACGGATGACAGCCTGGAAGACGGAGATTAGTTGTATGACAGATAGACACAGGAGGGAGAAAATAGTACAGATTTATATTAATGTTTACCTTTTACAATTTCTCTTCAGCTTAATTAACTCACCACTATACGATGTGGGATTACAGGAATAGAATTATTTTTCTCTTTATGTCAAAATTGGGTTACTCCAAGAGGTACAGTATATGAGTTTGGAACTATTTGTGGTCAATAACATTTCCTTTAAAGATTTTATTATTAAGACTCTACTGTACAGCACTGGGGGTAATGATCCTTCCAGCACTTAGGGTTTAATTAACTGAATGCCTAAGCAGATGTAAACTAGTTTGATTCAAAGAAAAAAATAGAGTCTCATCCTTATCACAGTTAAATATGTGTAATGCCTTCTATATGTACAGTCACCTCTTTCTACAGTACTGTGTGTGTGGTTATATATATACACCCTACCAATGTCACAACTCCTACCAATTCCCCGCACCTCATCAATTCTCCAAACCTTGTCAAAAAATCCCCCAGACCCTACCAATCTTTGCAGGTGGTTGGTAGAGGTTGGAGGGGTCCCCCAACGAGTACATGTCTCCTTCGTCATTTGTTGCTAGATATATCAGTTCATGTTTTACAGCTGTCAATTCAGATTGCAAAATATAATTTATTGGCCTCCGTTCATCACCACCAACCGAAAAACTGTCCATGTGGCTGAAAAATGCTTTAGTCCAACAACATTAAAAAATTATGAAAGCGATAACTCTGTGTTACCCCAAAATGCACATAG